GAGTATACCTATAATGAATACAGTGAACATGTATCAGCAGACGTCGAAAGATGCGGCCGGACGCCTCGGACGAGATGAGAATCAGTACTCACACGTCCGCCTACAGTGATCATGAAAGCAACAATGTGGTGGCGGTTGCATGCGGTGAAACCGTCGCACTGCACAGTCACGAGTTTACCGCGGCATGTCTTCTGGGCAATCCCACGGAAGTGGACAACTTGATTGGGGATAATCCGTTGCGTGAGGACTTTGCGACTCGGGATGTTTGCATCTGGGAGGAAAGTGTCACAGAACTCAAGCCATATCGGGTTCTCGACCCATGAGAGCGACCATCCCTGCGATGCAGTCAACCGGCCGAGGAAAGCTTCAAAGAGCTCCTGGCGGCCTCCGTCCCATGCTGGCGCTGCTGCGACGTTCCCTGAGCTGCCGCCTCGAGAGGCTGCGGAACGCGAGTCATAACGAGGACGCTTCTGAGGGGAGCCTGCATCTAAACCACTGTCATAGCGTCGGCGGAGGCTTCCAGCAGGGGAAACAGTGGGTAGGCCAGGAGTTGAAGCGGCCGACGGGGGAAATGGAAGGCTTGCAGATGCGCTGTAGGAGACCGGCGTGTTTGTGCGAGACTCGAAGGAGGTGGACAGCCCGGACAAGACGAGTGGAGATAGACTTGGCAGCGGTGTTGTGGAAGTAGATGCCACGGACTCGGACGCGCCCTCTGCTGGGTGAACAAGTGTAGGAAAGGGGAAATACATAGGAGCAATGGTAGGCTGAGGCGCGGGGGCCTCGGGGTGGGCCTGCATGCGCACAGAGTTGCGGTGCAGACGACGCGGGGACTTGTTCTTCTCCTCATGCTCCCGAGATGCCCTCTGACTGACCTCAGGACTGATAAGTGGACACTCTATAAGGTGGACGAGAAGGGCCGGTCCAGCAGCTGCAATCCATCGCCGGCTGCGATCGACCGCCAGCTTATCGAGAGCCCATACTGTCCAGAAATTAGTAACTGCACCGATCCTGACAGAAGCACGGACGGTGCTCACGGCTTTTCTCAATCTCCTCTGTCTCACGGATAACACCTTGTCGGATGTCACCCAGCTTCTCTTCTTCAACGCGCTGCTCGAAGCACTTCTTGCACCACACCTTCGTCTTATCGCCGTCCTTCGAATGCGCAGGCCTCTGAGGGAAGTAGTCCGGATGATCGTAGAAGTGGGACCTATACCAAGCACGACCTGATCGTGACAACTGGTTTGACGGGGTTTGCTTAGACAGGGTGTACTCGGCGGCAGACATGGTGTGCGAAATGGAAGAGACATGGATTGCAGAAGTACGAGTACTGAATATGTCGAGGCACCCGCGAGGATGGCATGAGGGAAACGCGTGCCTACTGCAGCGCGACGCGCCGCGCGCGACATTGATTAGATTGAACGCGTTCGCGTCTGATCTCCAGCCAATCACCGTACGTGCCTGACGCCCTGAGAAAGTGGACCAGTCGTGCGACAGTTGCTGCTCACTTTGTGCCGACTATCGACGTCGTCAACAGTTGACCAGTTGACAGCAGTTGACCTCAACCGTAGGTCGACCGGCACAACACTGTAACAGTGTGCCCCCCCCCCCCTGCAGATCGCCGCTTGTCGCTGGTCGCTAATCGCTGTCCGTTGTCATGCTCGCGGCGCTCAATGCTCCACAAGGCTCAGACTCAGTCTGTTCAAGCTCCGAGTCCGCGACTCGCCTCCGTCACGGCGTTCCTGGCCCTGACAATCCGTCCTACGGGCGACCCTTCTGGCGACGTCAACGTGCATACTGCATCCGAACGTCTCGTCTCGTCCCGGGTTTGTGCGGTTTTGCTGCGTCGGGGCCGGTTTGGTCGCAGATGCCAGATGCGGTCGCGACGTCTGATTCCGTGCCTTCCTGCCTCCGTCATACGTGCATCATGCATGCACCCGAGCCCAGGTGTCAAAAGGCAAATCCTGTTGCTCGAGTGAAGGGACAGGGCTCCGAGCTCCAGGGACGGGCCTCGAGGTACCACGTCAGTGGGACGCATCGGCATCGACCTCGCGGTCCTCGACTCCTCGCCCCCTTCTGACTTCGCTTCGCCGCAGGTACCCCGGGCACACTGAGGGGCGTGGCTTGAAGATCTTCAGCCCTTCCGTGTGTTTGGGGGCACGGATCTCTCCGCGACGGAACGTCAGTCACGGTGCGGTCATGCACGAATCCTGCGGGGACTGAATGAAGCTCGTGAAATGCGGTTTTGACAGGTAGCTTCGGGCGCGGCTGCTTGGATGCGGCGCTGGCCGCCTTCCAAGCTCCGAAGTTCGCGTCCCTGGGCCCGTCCATATTCGCATCCGCCCAAGATTAGACCCCGTCCGAGGATCTGAATGCCTTCGATACCACGCGATGTCAAAGTTCGAGACGGCGATGGCGACAGTTCGCGGAGATGTGCAGGCAAAGGCTGACACTTCCCAAGCACGCGCGCACTACTATCGGTGGCCATCGTTTCGAGAAGCTAACTTTGTTCTCTCGCACGTAGGCTGTGGCCTGCTGTGGTCCGACCGCAAGCTGCTGGGACGCTGCTGGGACCTGCCGAGCCCGGAGGCCTGAATGTGCCTGGGTTTCATTTTGAGTACGCCCTGTGCCTGGCTGCTTCTCCGGGACCCTGACACCCTGACACCCAGGCGCTCACGGCTTCTGCAAGTTCGAGCGGAGCGACACTTACAGCGTGCAGCTGGAACGCGGCATGTCGTCGTCTACCTCCATCTCATGCTCGCTTCCCCTCAAGCTTGGACGGCAGCAGGTCGCCCAACCTCGACATATTATGCTAGCGAGCAACATAACCGGCCCCTACTCTCAACACATCGCCGCATTGCGGGCCCACGAGCGAATACTTCTGGACGTCTCGAACCTGAATCGGATGACGACCGGTCGAGGACATTTTTCGTCAGTCGCTGACGTACTGGTGCCTCTGATAATGGTATCACTGACTGCAGTCTGCAGTTGTCCCAGGTCCGGGTCGTACCTCACTCAGCTGTCGCCTGCAATAGTGAACGGTTTCGGCCAGACTCAATTGCATCTGGGACATTGGTAACGTAGGCAACCTGAGATGATCGTCCGGCGTCAGCATCTCGATTCTCCTGGCGCGTGTACTATGATCGGCACACCAACCTCCGAGTACATCGGAAGCAGTGTCGGTGGGGAAAGTCTAACCATACTCGACACGCGTTGCCAGTGGAGTTACCCAAGGCCCCCCAAGACCCCGGGGTAGCGCTACGGAACCAAATGCCGACGGCACATTCATGATCTCCGGACGCATCTAAGAGAAAGTCGGTATGACTTTTCCCCTCAGGCGGCAAGACTCGCCCAGGCTGCCAGTGATATACGCTGTTCAGGTAAGTCCATCCGTCGTGTCAACGATATCTGAGATGACATTACATGATAGTAAGCAGAGTAGATATATTCTACTGATTTGTTGCGCTTGCTGCAGAACAATGGAAACTGGCTTTGCCAGAGAACGATGTAATCTTTTCGTGTCGATTGACGCTGAGGGCTGCTTGCTAACCACCGGACTACAGGATATAAGGCTCATCACGATATTCTCCACTCTATACCGAACCACCGCATACAACATTCCCTACCTCAAGATTGCTTGGCATGGGTCAATACTGGAAGCTGTAGGTCGTTCAGTGTCTTTCGACTCTTGCCACTTCTGCTCATCCCACAATCTGTCCAGTTTCAACGTTAGCAAGTGTCAGACGAAGACTCCTAATGGCGGTCCCAAGTGGCCATTCTTCGAATGCAAGCAGGAATTTCTGGTCAGGAGTATCACGGTGCCGTTCCCAAGGTGCGTTCACAGTTTTGCTTCTGCTTGCCCCGACGAGATTGACCAACACCAACCACCGCAGTCCGGAGCTTGAAAGGCATTTGGAGCGCCTCTCCAGCACTCGCCCTGCCAACAACAACAAAGGATTTCTCTCCCTTCCTGATGAGCTGCTTCTCGACATTCTCGACTTACCAGAGATCCAGTGGGACGAACTTGTGGTCCTTGCTGTGACCTGCCGGCGGCTTTTCGACCTCTCGCGCAAGATGATCGACTACTACCGCACCCTCATATCAGCTCCTTGGGCCAGGTGTCGCATTGTCTGCATCGGCGACTCCTACAAATATGCCGGGCTTCCTGCCACTCTACTCACGGCCGATGAGCGCATGGTCATCGATGCGAAGATCAAGCAGGGCGAGTACGCAGACTATGGCGGGCTTGAGCTGCTCAACTGCCACGATGCCGACCTGTACCGCGGCGCGTTCACCTTCTCGAACAGCTGGCGGCGCAAGTTTGGATCTAGCGTCGACCAGAAGGCGTTCAAGTTCATCGCGGGTGTCACCTTTTCTCCCGAGCGCACGGACTGGGCCCTTTGCAACCTTACGAAGAAGGAATATGTTCGTGCATCCGCAGTAGCAGAGCTCGCGGGCAAGCCGAACGACCCACAGCCGTTCCTTCCGCGCTGCAGGCTCGACCTCGGCCACGCACTCCTGACTCGCATTTGTTGGTCGAACGAGGCGCTCCCAAATACACCACCCAAGATGAAGATACACAATGGGCCGTGGGTCGGCGACCGATTCTGCATCACCACCATGGGCCGCTGGGCCGAGCCGAAGGAGGGCGAGGAGCCCTGGGAGTGGAAGGTCGTGAGCAGCCAGGTCGTGAGGGAGCTCTTGCAGGTCTACCGGGTGGCGTTTGAGAAAGACTGGCTCGCGGAGGTCGAGGGCAATGTCCTCATCACGGACCACGCGGAGCCTTACTGGTTCGGATCTGACGGAGAAGACAGGGTTGCCTCCGCTGGCCGTGGCTTATGGAGTCCCTGGCCATCGCTCTAGACTCGCTGTGGAGAATACGCTCGCAGTCGCGACGTCAATTGCGAACGTTTCCAAGCAGGCTTGGCCCCACCTTTGTCGCTCAGAACGGAGGGAAGTTTATTATTGAAACATAATATGAAGACCATTTGACTGTAGTTGAAGCCACCGTGGCGCAATGGTAGCGCATCACCTTCCTATCGTCTAGGATTGAACACGATTGCGGGGCCAGGTGGGGGTTGCGGGTTCGATCCCCGTCGGTGGTAGCTGGATACAATGTATCGCTTTTTCCATCTCGCAACACCCTACGTAGCGAGCAGGCTCCTGCCCACCCGCGCGCCTCGGGTTGAGGCCAGAATCTCAGCAGTGGGAGGCAGGCGAAATCCGAGAACCCAGCGCTTGCCTTATCCTCTGAGCGGGAGTCACGTGCTTTGTAGTTGTTGGGCCTCAACCTGGGGACCGGCAACGCCTGCGAGGCTGGCGGGCAGCTTAGTCACCAGGCGCCCATTTCCCAGATGGTCCTGACCATGACGGCGTCTGTCTCGCGGTACGCGTCGCGCGCGCGCGCGCGAGGCTGGCCGCAGCGCTCTACCTCTGCTCATGTATTCTACTTACTACGATTCTACGACCCTCGATGGGATAACAAACACTCGCATTATACACATCAAGTACTATCAACAAGCTAAGCTATGTGCAATGCACTGTAAGGCAAGATTAGGGAGGGATACTAGGGAGTAAATGAGGGTTATGCTGCAAGTGCAGCTCTACTGCGTCCATCAAGGCCGCCAACTTCTCCTTGCGCAACCGGATGCGAGACTTCTTCGGTATCTCACCCTTGTACTTCTGACGGTAGACTTCCAACTGTTCTTCCATAGCTGCAACCGTCATCCGCTTGATGGACTCCTTGTCAAAGACAAGCACCCGCCCCTGGAGCACTTCCAAATACTCGGCTGCTTTGCGCTCTTTCTCTGCAATCTCCTTCGCGTTCCGCTGAGCAGTGCTGACCATGTGCTCTGTGAGTTTCTTCCGCCGCTCCGATTCATGGTGCTGTGTCTCCATCTCCCGCGCGCTGCCACGCAGACTCCGCTGATCTTCTTCCGTGTTCAGGTGCTTCTCAATGAACTCTTCAGTCTCGTTTCGCTCCGCTTTCTTCTCGGCATTGAAGACGGCCTCGCTTCCATTCGGATTTTGGCGCGTCCAAATACGATCTGCCCCTAGGACACCCTCGTTGTGATCGTTGGTCGGCATGATCCAGGTGCTCTTGCGCTCCGCCACAGAGAGGTTATCGATGGCACCGCCCGCTGCAAACTCGACGGTAAACTTCTCCCACGTACGGAGAGCCCCTGTCAAGAAGCGGACTAGAAGCGGCTTGAGATGAGGTAAGTTTGGGGCCATTTTCTGGATTGCGGCAACAGCTTCGGGGTGTTCCCATGGCTGCGCATCCAATGCTGGTGTCCGGGCATCTGCAGGGCCAGCATGAATGAGTACGTCGGGGTTCTCGATGAGGGCCTTGATGTACTCTTTCAGCTGATCGTGAAGAGGGCCGAGTTGAAGGCCATTCAGTTGTGGTTGACGCACAACCCGCATGTATGGGTGTGTGATAGCTTCCCCATAAAGGGCAAGGACCGCAAGCTCAGTGAGCGTTGCAGGGTCCCTGAGACCCTTGTACACGTTCTCTTCGATGTTCGTGAAGCCAGGTTTCGTCTTCTTGTCACGGACAAGCTCGAGGAAGCGGATATAGTGGGGAAGATGCGTGAGGAGCTCGGCGGCGGCAGCGCAGTGTGATTGATAGCGGGTGTTACTGGTGTCTGGGAAGCGCAGGGGATGACCGGCAATCTGTTGGAAGTAGTACACATAGGTGTCATGATAACCCCGCTTGTCGTCGGTGTGGTTGAACAGTGCACCCGCGAGACTGGTCAGTTTGACGGCGCCGCGCATCGAGGACTCGAGAGCACGGAGTTCTGCAGGAGTGAGGTCCTCGGCAGTGACTGAGGATGGCCCTGCTTCGAGAAGATCTGGATCGACGTCGCGGAGAGTTGACGCGTTCTCCTTGTTGGCTAGAAGAATCGGGGGAGCTGCGCCTAGTTCTGACCATGCCGATCCCATTGCAGCAGCACCACCTTTGACGGCATTCAAGTCCTTGTGCATCGCGCAGCCCAGGCGCAAGAAGAGATCCAGGGGCCGCTTCTCCTGTTCTGGTAACGCATCGTAGACCGTCCGTCCGATCTCCAGGGTTTCAGCACGAAGCTTGTACGCAAATGTGCTAACCCGATCCTCAGAGGCGAGGCACTCCCAAGCTGTCAAGCCCCCGGCCGCCTCTATAACAGAGGCAGCCACCTTGGACGTCAAGCTTTGCAGGGTGTGTGATGGTTCGGGGCCAGAGGTGAGGTGGTTGCATGCGAGAGCCAGGTATGTCATTTCCCTCTTCCAATCCTGGAGTTTCCGTGTCGTCTTGAGCTGGTCTGCGGCGTGATCTCCGCCGACTCCACGTAGCTTCAAGGCGAACATCTCGAGATCGACCTGCTCGCCAATGCGTTGCGCAAACGGTGAGTTGTTGAACGCATAAGCAATGTGCTTAAACTTTGTTTGCCACCCTTCAACCTGCGTCTCACTTGTATGGTCCGTTGTGGCATGCACACCGAGGAGGCGGTTCTTTGCAATCAATGACTGGCCATCCTCGGAGGGCAGCACAATCAGGGCGTGCTGAGCTTCCTTGTTGACGCTTCTATTGGTCGTTGTGTCGCCACTGATTGTGAAGCTGTAATCCCGATGCCTCCGGATTACGCACACACTTTGGCTCTGTTTACGTAGACGCGCATTCCCCTTTGCTTCCGCGAACCTTCGTTGTGTCCCTTACCGTTACCACCACCGGACGCAACGAAGGTATGTTCTCCCGCACATTAGCTACCTCTCATGTACTTACCGTTACCACCACCGGACGCAACGAAGACCCGTTCCCGTTCTGTTCTTCGAGTGTTACCGGCAGAGCCGGTTTCCACTTTTTTTTGAACGACGAACATTCTTCACGGTCGCCACTCGAAGTTGGACTTCGACTAAGCGGGCCACAACGCGCCGTCCTCGACGAGGAGGCTCCCCACGTCATCACGTCGACAGACAACGCGAGGATCACCCGGAGCTACACTAGGGAGCACTTCGTCAACCCCCTGACGACACCGCTGCCCTTCTCCAGTGTAGACAACGCGGAGATCTCGACACTTCTTCGTGCTGACGAGCACGCAGACAGTGAGTCAGACTTCAGTTGGTTAGGCAATTCCCCGCTATCCTCGATCCCCTCTACACCGCTGTCATCGTCACGCCCGCATACGCCGACCGTCCCTCTTCCAATCCACGATACTTGTCCTCCCTCTCCCAGTCCTTCTTCCTCGTCTTCCTCATCGTCAGAGAACGCCGAGTTGCACGCATACAACCACCCTTCGCCCGCATATAGTCAACCCACTATGCCCCAGGACGCCCCTGTCACCATCCACTCAAAGGGTCCGCCCACTCTAGGTGAAGGGACGCTCACTCCCTCCGTCTTCAACGCGTGGGAGCACGGTTGCAAACAACACTTCCGGAAGCGTTCAATCAAGGACGAAGACAAGGTCATGGAGGCCTCCGATGGTTTCGTCAATGAACGAGTTCTCGACTGGTACCTCACAGAGAGCGCGCGTCTTGATGCGCTCTCGTGGGAGCAGTTCACCGCTGCTATCCGCGAGCGTTTCCTTCCTCGCGGCTGGGCTCTGTCTATCCGCTCGCAGATCTTCGCCCTTCAGCAGACTCCGGACCAAACCTTCGAGGACTTCGTTCTCGCGGTCGAGAAGCTCAACGCGCGTCTTCAAGGCAACAAGCACCGTCTCTCCGAGGACGCTCTTCGCGGCATCTTGAGCTCCAACATGGACGTGCATCTCGCGCTCGCCTGCGACACCGGAGCTATCGCGTCTATCAAGGACTACGCTGACTGGAAGGCTGCTGTCTGCACTGCCGACTCTCAGCGTATCCTCGTCCGGAAGACCGCCCGCGCTGCTAACGCCACCGCATACAAGTCCACCGCGAACACCGCGTACAAGTCCTCTGCCGCTCCTGCTGCGTCGACCACCAAGTCCACTAAGCCTCGCATGCACCCGCCCAAGCTCAAGCCGGACGAACGCAAGCTCCTGGAAGACCACCAGGGCTGCTTCTCCTGCCGCCAGTTCTATGCCGACCATCTTGCTCGCGACTGTCCCAACCAACCTTCTGAGCCCTCCACGTACAAACCTCTGACCGCCGCCATGGCCAGCGCTGCCAAGGCCAACAAGGAGAACCGCCAGAAAGGGAAGTCTGTAGCCGCCGTCGTTGACCCGGACCTCGACGTGGACGTCGACGCCATCGCCGCTGTTGCGTCCTCCCCAATCGCGAGCACCACTGGCATTTTGGGCACAGGCTCGGATTCTGACGAGTGCGTCACTCCCCTCTATGCTCCCCACACCATTCTTACCGCAAACCTCCTCTCCCCCATCACCGACGCTCTTCTCTGTCGAACTCTTGTGGACTCCGGTTCGCATGCAGTTCTGATTAGGGAGGACGTTGCAGACCGCCTCAAGCTCCCGCTGCGCGATCTCCCCGAGCCATTTCGGCTGGGAAACGCGTGGGGAACTGGCGTGGAGGAAAGTAAGAAGTGGGTTAAGCTTAGAATCGCACTACCGGATTTCTCTTGGACCTCTGTAACCTGTCGCGCCATTGTCGTCCCGCATCTCTGCGCCCCTGTACTATTAGGCAAGCCATTTCTGGAATCAAATCACCTTGTCGAAGACCACGCTGCCCGAACGCTCGTCCACAAGTCTTCCAATCGCGACATTCTCACCCCCCTCGCAACCGTCCCTGCGCTGCGCCCCATTCTTGAACAAAGGCAGGCAAATCGGGAGGAGAGAATCGCCGCCGACGACGCCTCCCGTCTCCGACACCTTCGATTCCTGAAAGAGATGCACGACACAACGCGACTGTGTCGCATCGAACTCGACACGCACACGGTCGATGGCTCGTCAGTGGCCGCCGCCGCCGTCCGTGATCGAGTCGAGGTTCTTGCGCTACTGGAGCGGCTCCAGCGCGAGAACGTTTCGATGAAGCAGGAGTTTATCGACCGCTTCCCCGATGACATACCTCATATCGATGATCTACCTACAGATTGCTACCATCGATTCGTACTCAAGGATGCGAACATGGTGATCGCTCGACGGCAGTACGACTGTCCGAAGAAGTATCGGGAAGCGTGGAAGATCCTGCTCGACCA